TTCGCTAACACTGTAGCTTTTTAGTAGTAAATTACTTACTGAAAGTTCATTCATATACCCGACGTAATTACAATTGAGAATACCTAGTCAGGTACTCACTCGATCAAATTAATACAAACATCTACAACTTTTATATACCCAAGATACATCTTCAATGATGATTACCTAAAGCTTATTATATCAATTCTACATCAATAATAATACTACATCGGTTTTTAAGGAAACAAGTTTAATAATGGTGATTTAAATCCAGTTGGTCATTCATTAAAATGTTTAAATTTTCAAATTCATTAATTTCCATTGCTTAAGAATGATTTAGCTTTAAATCTTCATTTTCTATGTATGAAATTTTGAAATCTTCGTTAAAGATATGATTTTCTTCTAAAAGATGATTTGAATATGTTGAACTTGTTTTCCTATTTACATAGCTCATATGATGTTCCTGAATACGATTTCAGAATTTTCTGCCAGTCTGACCAATATATTTACTTTAGGACACGTTCCACACTTCAATTTATATACTCCTGATTTCTTGAATTTGGATGTTTTGTCTTTATTATTTTCAACGAACTTTCTCAATGTATTACTTATTCTATATGCAATTTCAATATCTTGTTTATTCAACAATGAGGCCACTTTTTCTGTTGTTTCTCTAAAATATGTTGAAGCTCAACTCTATTATATCACATTTCGCCGTCTTCTCGTCATAAATATTTGCTCGTCTATTCACTTCCTCTGCTCGAGAGACTTGATACATGTTACGAAAAGACGATGTGACGCAAGGATACGTTGTTGAACCGTAACATCATAATGAAATCGTTCTTCAGTTATTTTCGAGATTTTCTTTGTTGCAAATTTTTTTACTGTTTTATATTGTTAGGTCAAATTATCTTCTGATGATTATCAATACTGTATTTTCCCGTATTTTCATGGTATATTTTCAATAAGCATGTTATAAGTTCTTGTAAAACGTTCTTTTTATTTCAAATACTGGTCAATCAAGTACTTTTTTCTAGATATTTGTGATCAAAAGTGCAGGAATCTGCCGGGATCCTATGAATGTTATTGCGATCATAAATATTTGCTTAAAGAAGATAAAAGAACTTGTAAAGCTGTGGGTGGAGAAGCTTTAATGGTATTCAGTTCCAAATCCGAAATAAGAGCATATGCCTTGGAATCCGAGTTATATTTTCCGATAGTACAAAAGTTGAAGCAAGTAGTCGGCGTTGATTATGACGGCCACCATATCTACTGGACGGATATTTTTGCAGAGCATGAGAGTATCGCACGAACCACTGAGGATGGATCAAAACGAGAGGTATGTTATTATTTTTCGGAAATTTCATAAACTGAGTGTCGCTCGTGCGTCGTAGGGACAAATTAATATTTTGTGAAATATTTCTTAATATAAAGTAATTACCTCTCAGTAGGATAAATGTAAAAAAGTGGAAGCCTAGGTGGCCTTGGCTGAGTTTTACAACAATATAACAGTTCACTGCTGAATAAGAAGATTTCGTTACAAATTGATATTCATCAATGTGAAGTTGAGATGGGATTAGGCGTTTGAACAAAAAATATGTTGAAGTTTCAGTGATGTCCTGAGAAAATTTGGTTGTTAAAAAATAAAATAGGGTCTTTCATTAGGCGCTTCCAATCTTCAAATTCAAATAAAACAAAGTTTGTGTGAGATATCATCGAACGGGGCCAAATCGCACGATCTAGGTGGCCAGTTCACATCACCCCCACGCGAGATGACCATGCCCTCAAATCGCTCGTGCAGAATATCCTATGTGACATGAGCTGTGTGGCACGTAGCGTCGTCCTGTTGAAATCATATGTCGTTGGTGTCTAAATCATCTGATTCAGGCCAAAAGAAGTTGGTGATAATCGATCTATAGTGCTCGTCGTTGACAGTGATAGCGTGGCCAACGCCACTCTCAAAAAAATATGCCCCGATGCCAACCCAATTTCCACACCAAACAGTGACATTTTCGGGATGCATTGGACGCTCTTGGATCTCATGTGGATTGTTATCATTTGACAATTTTATTTGTTCACATACCCATTCCTTGCGGTTGCTGTATTTCTCGATATTGAAGGAACATTTGAGAATGCACTACCTAAATCTATAGGATCGTTTCTGTCTAGGAAAGGTATAGAATCGACCATAACTGGCTGGATCTATGTCATGCTGGTAAACAGAACTGCAACTACGACTCTTTAAGGCGAGGCCATCAGGTTCGGGGAACCAAGGTGACCCCGAAGGTGCCCTCAAGGTGGGGTACTATCTCCCCTTCTGTGGTCGCTTCTGATGGATAGTCTGCTTGCTGCCCTCGACAGAAGAAAAGTAAATCTACAAGCTTATGCAAATGACCTTGTCATCTTGGCACGTTGGACGTTGTTCACAGTTGGTGACTGAGGGAGCAGATGTCTGTCAACCCCAGCAAAACTGTGATAATCCCCTTCACTAGGAGGAGAAAATTGGACGATCTAACGCCACTTTCCCTCAATTGTGAGGTAATTCCGTTTGGAACGGAGGTGAAAAACTTGGCATTGTCCTTGATAAAAAACTCACATACAAAGTCAGACTGTCCCTATGGATATGTCAAAGGATTTGTGGTAAAACTTGGGGTTTAGGTTCCAAACAAAACCATTGGATTTATGTGACTAATGATCTCTTATGGTGCAATTGCCTGGTGGCCGAAGGCTTTACAGAAAACGGTCCAGGCGAAGCTCTCTGGCTTACAGAGACAGGCTTGTCTGGCCATGACTGGTGCCATCAGTACTACACCGTCAGCGACCATGGAGATCCTTCTAGATCTACCCCCTCTCCACATTTTTTGGAGAGAGAGGCTAGATGGACTGCTTACAGACTTGTGCACATTGCCAATTGCACAAATAGATTTAATGCAGAGTGCAACAGACTCTTGGTTGACACTGGAAGTCACAGCATTCTGGAAACGATCTCTGACTTCATGCCTCCAACTGTCAACTATGAACTGCCTTATAAAGTATTGTTCCCGAGTAGAGAGTACTGGATCCTCCGGGAGAAGGAAATATTAAGAGCATATAGTTGTTGGTTAACAGATGGATCAAAAACGCCTTCCGGTTGTGGTGCAGGTGTTTTCAGTTGCAGGCCCAGGAGAGAGATATCAACCTGCCTAGGAACCTATGCGGCTGTATTTCAAATGGAAATTTGAATTGTTTGCGGAGAGATTGGAAGAATCCAACCTCATTCACAATTCAATAAAAATATTCTCGGACAGTCAAGCGGCGCGGCGTTGGAAGCTCTTGGCTCCTACCGAGCAACGTCTAAATTGGTAGCAAATTGCCACAAACGATTCTACTCGGTAGGAAGAGTCAATAGATTGTCTCTGGTCTGGATTCCTGGCCATACTGGCCTGGAAGGCAATGAGGCTGCTGATTCCCTTGAAAAGGAGGGTGCTGCAGCAGCTTCCTCGGACCAGAACCTGTCATTGGTATCACTTTAGACTCTGCCAAACAAAGATTGAACACCTGGATGGCAAGAAGATTCATGGACTCCTGGCAGAATCTTCCAGGGTTGGCTCACTCCAAGGCGTGTATTCACCCTTCGAAGCTTGGACTACAATAGGGATGAACAACGATGTCTAACAGGTCTTTTTACAGGTCACTGTCATTTGAATCACCATATACAGAGACTCGGACTGTCAGAAGGCAATGTGTGTCGCCTCTGTTTGGAAAATGATGAAACAGCAGAGCACACACTTTGTGCCTGCCCCTCTGGGGACCGAATCAGGATTTTAGAGTTCGGCAGAACCGTACTCTCACCATCTCACCATAAAAACTAATCGGCTTCGTTGAGAAGCTGGGTTCATTTGGTTGAATGTGAATATGTGTGAGCCACAATAAACCCTTGCGGGTTGGTGTGGAGGGTCGAATAGACCCACTCATTTTGGACCTAACCCAACCTAACCCATTCATCTAGAAATGGCCTCATCGTTGAAAATTATTTTTCGATGGAAATTAGGGTCAGTTGTCAACTGCTCCAGAGCCTATTCAGCGAACACACGTCGTATTCTATGGTCGTTTACCGTCAGTTCCTGGGTCACTTGAATTTTGTACGGGTGCAGGCCTCGGATTCTCCTGCACACTCTCACAGACAGCGGCGATGTTTTAGGCAGATCTTGCGTTTTGTCGACGTACGGGTGTTGGTCGATCGTTAACTGAACCAGTGGACTCAAATTTATCCACCATCACATTGTGAATAGTCATCTCGGTTGGACAATTATGACGACCGTAAAATGGGCGAAGCGCGCGGTACGTTGTCTGAACAAAACAGCCATTTTCATGAAACAATTTTATTATTTGTACGTGTTGTTGAAAGATATATCCGTCCATGGTGATTTGACAAAACAGACTGAATAAATGGCCACTAATTTGATAGATGTAGCTTCAACAAGATTGACAAAGCTCAGAAGTCTCTGTTGAAAGACTCGATAGTAGATATAACAAACACAATGAAAAAATTAAATCACCTAAAAAAAAAACGTTTATTTTTTTACAAAAATCGCTGAGTATCTTGAAATCTGCGGCCAGTAAATGCAGTGAATTGTCGCTAACCTAAAATTAAAAAATGAATGTAAAAAAACAAAAATATACAGGATGTTCCATTTGAAACAAGTGATTTATATGTAAGTTCTCATTGTATTGATGAAAATGTATCTGTAGCACACCTTGTACATTTGATTGGGATTTATATCGAAACTAGATTTTATTGAAGAATATCGAAAAAAATATTTTCAAGGCGAGTTGACATATCAAAAAATTGAAACGAAAGTTATACGAAACTGAACGTAACATCAAATAATGGTAAAATATACAGGGTGTTTCATTTAAGAAATGAAGTTGACATGGAAAACATGTACAATTGGAAACTTTATATTTCTCAAAATATTTTAGAATTATAGACCATATTTATTAGTAGCAACTATAAAATTTTCTGATTATTATGTCATTTCGTCCTTGAGTTACGTCTTATGGTCCACTGAAGTTGACTTTTCTGTATTCCTATATCTTTTGTTTAGATTTTGATTACTTCCGGACTTGGTCTACCAGAAGATTTAGCTGTTGATTGGCTCACAGGAAATATTTATTTCACGGATGCAGAAAAGGCGCATATAGGCGTATGTAACAGTCATGGAACTCACTGTACCGTTTTGGTGAACAAAGATGTCAATAGACCCAGAGGACTGGTACTGAATGTTGAAGAGGGGTAAGTCTATCTCTATCTAATTTACTTCAATACTCAATGTTATTTCAATTTTTTGTTAACACACTATTACTATTTATTCAAAAATGGTTTCAGTTTTCCTGCATTTGAAGTAACTTCATTTAGTTCTCACTTTTCTGTTAGTTTGCTATTTTCTAAATAGTCGTAGCTCACCTCAAAATTTCAAAAATTAGGAATTGAGAGACAAATTTTAATGAAGAATACTTCATTTCAGAGACATGTACTGGTCTGATTGGGGAAAACCGTCCAAAATTGCTCATTCTCTGATGGATGGTTCAAATGACAGAGCATTCATATCTACAGATATTCATTGGCCTAATGGGCTAGCCCTGGATCAATCTAACCAAAGGCTTTATTGGACTGATGCTAAAAAAATGACCCTGGAAAGCATTCGATTGGACGGAACGGATAGAAGGGTAAGAAACATCGCTGAAATGTTTTTCATTTTTCATAAAGTATTATTGATAAAAAACTGTGAGAAGGTGCTAAAATAAATTATTAGATGAAATTACAGACGATTTACATACTGAACATACTGAAGAGTAGTACTTTCTATATTAATTATGTAGCTTATGGAGTTCCACAAGGTTCAATTCCCGAACCCCTACCATTCTCACTTTATATAGCAGATTTTTACCAAGGTGTACAATCCACCACTATGCTGACGACGCACAAATATATACAGATTTTTCAGCTGAAAATATCACTCAGGCCCTCAGTAATATCGAAAAAGATCTTCAATCCTTATTTGACATCTCTACAGCGCATAACCTCAAAATCAGTCCATCAAAATCAATTACAATGATTTTTGGCCCCAAGTCAAAGCGTGAGCAAATATGCGATAACTTCAATATAAACTTAGCAGGAAGTGCGCTCGAAGTCGTTGAAGTCTTTGAAAATTTGGGATTATGGATCGATTCTAACCTTAGGTTCATTAAACATATTAGTCACCTTTGTCAAACCTATACCCCAATCGGAATATCCTACCCATTAAATTTAAGCTGGAATTATGTGAGACTCTGGTTATGTCCAGAATATCATATTGCGATAGTGTATATGGTCCTGCATTACTTCAGACTGATTCTACTCGTTTGCAATGAATTCAGAATTCTTGTATTTGATTTGTATATGGAATTAAAAAATTTGATCACATCAGTGGCAAGTTTGTAGGTTCCGGATGACTCAACCTGGAAAAATGTAAACTTCATCTCTTCACTCTCATCCACAAAGTTTTCATTGCATTTCATTAGTTCGGACTTCCATTGTCTAATATGATATAGATTGATTTGAAATTTCTGAAAGAATCTGTAAAAAATCAAAAAGGTTAGCTGAAAAAAATAACAATACAAGCAACAACCAGAAAATAAAAAATTCAACTATTAACAAAACTGAAAATTAAAAATTAAAAGATTCTAAACCAAGTTACTCCACGACGTTTCGATTGTTAGTATCCACAATCGTTTTCTGGTGATAACTGTACTTATTCCTCAGGATCTGACTATTTATGGGTCATTCGAGTGATTCACCTATCCCCTCTTCCCTCTCTTCGCTTCATCGGTTTTAGCGGAAGCTGATCGTTTGGTGGAAGGTGGTCGTGTTCCGCTCGATTAGAGGTTGTCATATGTTGCGTATCTCTACGCTAGCTTGGCTAAATGAGTTATATATGCGGCTTCTTTGAATTTTCTCTTGAACCAGTGTTCCTCTTTATGAATGATTTCAGCTCGAGCCCACTTGATGTTATGTTGATGAGTCCAAACATGTTCTGCTATTAATGATTTGCAGGTTTCTCCTCGCTGTGTGTGTTTCTTGTTCTCGCCAATGGGAACTTTCAAGGCCTCTTAGTTTCACCGATGTATGATTCTCCGCACTCGCAGGGTATCCGGTGAATGCAATTCTTGGAATCGCAGTCCACGTTTGGTGGCCTGGTTTTCGTGAGTACAAGTACTGGTTGTGGCGGCTTCTCTTTCTTGTGGGGCTCTTGATGTCTTCTAGGTAAAGCCTTTTCTACCATCACTTTGGAGTAACAATTCCGTTGAAGCTCATTTTTGATGATGCCTGGTTGCTTTTCGAGTTTTGATTACTGGTCATCCCACGTATCTACACAAAAGAGTAATAACAATGCGTTGCCTGAATCAAGTGAGTACCAGGAAATGCATCCTACTTCTTGTACCTAAACACTCTACTGCTCTTTTTACACGAAGCTTCTGTTACGTCTCTTTAAAAGAATATAACTCACTTCCTAATGAATTATGGGACTACTCTCTGTATAACTTCAAAAAGAAATGGAGAACGAGGCTCCGCCCACTATAGATGTATCACTTGGTAAATGGACCGGCTACTACAAATATATGATTTTTTTAAGTTTTTTTGAGTTGTTCGTATTTGATGTCAACCTACCTATTTATGTTAAGTATGTCTGACCAATATGCTATGGTCAGTATTGTAATTTTGTTGTAAATACTTCCGTGCAGCATGAAATGTAACATCTGACCATTCTTCCTCCGAAGAAGATAATATATCATTTACTTTCATTTCCTAAAGTACATAATTATTAAAATTTATTTGAATATAAATCATTAAGCTTGTCGCTCACTTGTCCGGCACAGGACAGCACGGCGTTGTCCGTTGCCTGATGGCGACGGGTAGTAGCATCGCCCACTTGTCCAGCTACAACCAGCATACTGAAGGTGCTGTTTGTTCGTTTTCAAAGGAATTTCACTTGAAATCGAGGGGTGGCAGAAACATGTCTATCACTAGCAGTTCTTTCGAAGAAGTCGTCATGATAGTGGCAGCATTATTGAATGTAGAAGAAAATAATCACAAAAAATAATGTTGTGGGTCCATCCTATTCATCAAAAAAGGGCAAATCTGGTAGAGTTTCATCATATTTTCAACCATCTGAATGAAGACGAAAAGAAATTTTTCCAGTATTTCCGAATGACTCCAGGCAAATTTTCAGAACTTCTGGATATTCTAGAGCCTGCCTTAACAATCAACTCATTTTTTTCTCGTCTATTTTCATAGCTACTGTCTGACACTGTGCTGTCAACTGATGGAATAGCAAAACAGAACGACAAAAACTTCCCAGGCACTTTTGGACAAGTTGATGCTGGCTAGCGCTGGCCGTAGAAGTGCTGACTTGGCCAGTCCGCCACAGCACGTTCCGTTATTTACTGGTCAGGATCAGAGAGCTGGAATCCTTTCCGGCGGCGGACGCTCTTAGCTGTGCCGTGCCGGGCCGAGCTGTGCTGTGCCGGACAAGTGGGTGACAAGCTTTAGCAATATTATTTTCTTAGATTTAGTTTTTTTTATATGTGGACACTCAAAGGGTCGAGTTCAAAAACAGCTTTAACTGACACTTCGCCCATTCGTCATACGGTTATCTTTAATTAAGCTTGTCACTCACTTGTCCGGCACAGCACAGCACGTCGCTGTCCGTCGCCTGATGGCGACGGGTAGTAGCATCGCCCACTTGTCCAGCTACAACCAGCATATTAAAGTTGCTGTTTGTTCGATTTCAAGTTAATTTCAGTTGATATCGAGCGGTGACAGGAACATATCTATCACTAGCAGTTCTGACGAAGAAGTCGTCATTATAGTCGCCGCATTATTGAATGTAGTAGAAAATAGTCACAAAAAAGAATGTCCATCCCAATAATCAAAAGAGGGCAAATCTAAGAGAGTTTCATCATCTTTTCAACAACCTGAAAGAAGACGAGGAGAAATTTTTCCAGTATTTCCGAATGACTCCCGGCAAATTTTCAGAACTTCTAAATATTCTAGAGCCTGCCTTAACAAGCAACTCGATTTTTCCTCGTCCATTTTGATAGGTACCGTCTGACACTGTGCTGTCAACTAATGGAATAGCAAAACAGATAAACAGAAACTTCCCAGGCACTTTTGGACAAGTTGATGCTGGCAAGCGCTGGCTGGCGACGCGCTCACTTGGCCAGTTTGTCACAGCACATACCGTTATTTGTCGAACAGGATCGGAGAGCTGGAATCCTTTCCAGCGGCGGCACTCATGACTGTGCGATGCCGGGCTATTGGGCGGTTGTCCATTCATTTTCATTATTCCAATCCTATCCGTACGAGCCGTGCTGCGCTGTGCCGGACAAGTGGGCGACAAGCTTTAATGTAATGTAAATACAAATATATCCTTTATATCTTGTGATGAAAAAAGTCGATTATTATTATCAAATAAACATGATTTTCGATAAAAATTGATCAATTTGCAGAATTGTTAATACCTTTGCTGTTGGGTCTTATTCCAATCACATTGCTGAAAGTCTGTCATTGAAATATCGACATATCTTCTAAGCATGACAACTTTTTGTCTTTATAAGAAGATAATTGAATTTTCAATGAGATTGACCCAGTTCACTACTTCCTAAGTTTCCAGTACATTTATATTGTATTTTAGATTGTGTTGGAAGGGGTCGTGAAACATCCTTATGCCATTGCGGTGTTCGAAAATAAATTGTACTGGTCAGATTGGTCAACTCGTTCCATCCAAACTTGCGACAAATTTACTGGCAAAGATCATCACACTCTGGTTAAAGAAGATAAGTATATATATGGAATCAGCATATTCCATTCAGCTCTCCACAGAAGACTTGATAATCCTTGCGCATTGTCCTACTGTAGCGATATTTGCTTGCTGAAGGGAAATACCTACAGCTGTGCCTGCCCTGAGAATAAACTTCTGGGAAGTGACAAGCATTCATGTAAAGGTTAGTGGAAAACATTAGAAGGAAATATTTATCTTGATTGTTATTGCACACAGATTTGAAATCTAAAGGAATTAATATCAAAATTATGAAAAAAATGAGTTTGACATGTATAATTAGCAAACATTTTTGAAGCAAACGAATCATTGTCGCTTGAGATCTGATTGAAATAATAATAATGGTTGTTGAAAACCAGTATAAAAAGAGTGAAACGTTAACAATATATGAAAAATGATAGTATTAGTGAAAAAGAAAGAAAACTTTTTCAAACCAAGCCACTCAACCACTTTTAGATGATTATTATTTGCAATTGAAATATCTAAATTGAATTTCTGAGTCGTTCTAAATCTTTTTCTTGATTTCTGTTGTTTATTATTGATATTTCACCAATTGTTCATATTATTAGTGAAACAGGTCACAATATTTTTTACAGGTTCGTTTACTTCCAGGGAGGAGGAAATTTCCTAGATGAAAGTCCCACCTTCTGGAACTCTTTCACCAATATTTATAATTTTAATTTAGAGGCGAAAATAGTGCTAAAAGCGGGCGATGCACTGACCGATCTGGACCTTTGAATAATAATAATTATTTGAACCCATTAAATATCATTATTAAGAAAAAAAAATCACATACCTTNTCCTCTTTGAGGATCTTTTTTCAAATTTCGAATATCTTTTAAATTTTCGGAGATATTTGCAAAAAACCAAACCCCTCTTTTTTTACTGAATTATTTATAACTTTCGCAATTTTTTCGAGCCCCTCTTGAAAATACTCAAAAAGTTGCTAAAGGTCATTCCGAATCGAATGAGCCCTGGATCATAATTTTCAGTGAGTTTATACAAGTGTATTGTGGGCTTCTTGTAGTTTAACTTGAATATACACTCTGTATAATTCAATTTTAAAGTTTTTCAATTGGTTTCAATAAGGAATTTGTTGCCATTTCCCATACTGATAATGAATGAATATAAGTTTTTGAATAAACTTGTGAAAAATATATCAGCTGTAATTACAGTGACAAAAAAAATCTATGAAAATACGTGTTAGAAATCACACATTAAAAGGTAAGACCTCGTTAATCCTTAGCTCGCACAATCTTCGACTTCTGAGGGTTGTCGTTCGTAGGGGTGTGACAGCTGGTTAACGGAAAAACTGATTTAAAACAGAGCAGAGATTCCAGATTCGAAGGATTTGTTGATTATTTCCTTCATAATTGTGACCAATTCCCATCTCACATATTCAATAGCGTACTCGTATACTGAAATTTGATTATATCCAGAGGATTCTGATTTATTTACGGGATGATCAAAAATCAAACTGAAGCGTAGTAATTACATTTCACCTAATGAAATATTCTGAAAACTACAAAAAATAATAGTTCAGAAACGAACGTATTCACGTTAAATGTATGAATTGTGATTAAAACTCTATGAGGTACATAATTTTTGGTGACTTCAATTCGAGTTGATGCGTAGCAGCTGAAAGAGTTACCTTGGAACATCTCTTCTAAAGATCTAAATTCTGAACTCTTTTTCCGATATTGAAGTGTATTCGATGCATCTTACTATTTCTTCCAGTCCTGAAAGTATTGATATTGCGATAATTATGAACGGCAGATTCCATGCTCTACTTTGACAAACATCATAATGTGTTGATTATTTTTTTCCAGATATTGGACCCACAGAAACGTTGATCGCTGGGACTCAAGATAGTTTAGTTCATATAGAGCACAAATTTTTGGGAAAACATGATGTCACGTATCTGCCCAGTATAGTTAAAAAAATTGGTTGCTTGGCTTATGATAGTATTAATAATTCACTACTGATCAGCGACTTGGAGTTGAAAAAAATCGTTAACTTGGATTTGGATGATGGAATCAATAAAGTTCTTGAAATTGATGGATTAGGAAGTATAACAGCAATGGATTATGGTAAAAAAATTGTTACTATTGAATAACGGGAACACTAATGATATTTATTGTAATAATTCATATGTTATTGTAAATCTGAAGGTATGATTGAATCTGTTATAGAGTAGAGTAGTTATGTGAAATAATGTTTGACTTTCAAATGCACTATTAACTTCAATTATCCCAAGAACTGAAGGAATAACATAAAATAACAATAACAACATTCAGCTAGTTGAATCTATTGCGAAATACATTCTTTGGTCATTTACATTTTCAATAATAATAGAAATTTTGCATTGGTGAGTTTTGAATTTTCTGGAATGGTGAATTTTTCAATATCGAGTGACTTTCTAGGTGATTCAGAAAATTATATGTATGTCGAATATTTGAATATAAATAATATTCTTTCCAATAAGATTGACGTGTGAACTCCACGATAAAACAAAAATTTCCAAATTTTATTAACTTACCGAAATTGATGAGAGGAGTTTTGTAATTAATTCATTTTGGTTATGATTTTACAACTAACTAAACACTAAATAATCATTTAGTGTTTAACTGAATATATCAAATTATCAAATACCTCGTGCNTCGAAAACTCCAGTAATATTCATTAGAAAATTATTTGACAGTTTTTGGTGAAAATCATACAATAAACTATATTAATGAGTTATGAAGTCTTTGAGACCATTTAGTCCTTTCATCTGCACTGAAAAAACATTAGAAAACTACTTGACAGGTATATCAGGAGCTAACTGACTACTACATCAAGACTAACGTGAGTACACGTGAGGTTTGTCAATGGAAACGGCTTTATGTAAGGTAACAGAAAAAGCAGAATATGCTTAAAAAATTAAGAAGTAGTTTTAGTTGTTGCTTAGCGCCTTCCATTATATGTCTTCTGAATGAAATATCTAGGCGTCAAGAAGGAGAGGTATCGAGGTGGAAACTGTAGATGGATAAACTGTATGTTATAAGGAAAATTGGTATGAACGACCATTATGGTAGAAAAAATAAGTGTACGAGTAGCAAGAAGTATTGTCCCTGCTGTTGTGGACAAAATTGATATTCAGATGACTCAGTTATCTTAGTTCAGGGCAAAAAAAATAATAGCAGCCCCTGAACTGCATAATAAGATGCACCGAAAAAGAACGACCTTACAGCCATCCTAATCGACCATAGTATCATTCGCCAAGAGTACTAGCACCTCTTCAAGTCCGAGGTGTAAAGTTACAATTGTCGGGGGGAAATGATTATCTGGGAATAAGTAGAAAACCTATATATGGACAGGATAAAAATCGCCAAAGTAGCACTTACGTGGAGACTTGGTTATAATGTTGTTATGATTTATCATAACAAATACTTCTTTGGTTTGAGGGCCAATGATGAAGAAAAAAATACTGCTGTTAACAAATTAAGCACAGTGCAAATATCTGGCGTCTATGTAGGGAAATATGCTAATTGAGACTAATTGAGTCCAAGGCTAATTAGGTCTAAGGCTAATTAAGTCCAGCAATGCATATGTGGTTCAACCTAGTTCCAATGATGTGACCTATAACGGCTGGAAACTGGTGTTGCATTATGAATTATTTGTTTTTGGGCTATGTCTTTAACCCCTTGAAAACTAAATAAGTATGAGACCTTTTCCTTCAACAAGTTATTTCATGTAATTCTCATTTTCTGTTTCATTTGAATCATTAATCATATCGAACATATTTTGGCAGGACAAATTCAGACCGTGTCTTGTGAACTCTTGAGTCACTGTTAAAGAAAGATTTAATGTTGTTATGATTTATTATAACAAATACTTTGGTTTGGGGGCCAAAGATGAAGAAAAAAACACTGCTGTTAACAAATTAAGCACAGTGCAAATATCTGGCGTCTATGTAGGGAAATATGCTAATTGAGACTAATTGAGTCCAAGGCTAATTAGGTCTAAGGCTAATTAAATCCAGCAATGCATATGTGGTTCAACCTAGTTCCAATGATGTGACCTATAACGGCTGGAAACTGGTGTTGCATCATGAATTATTTGTTTTTGGGCTATGTCTTTGATTTTGAAAACTAAATAAGTATGAGACCTTTTCCTTCAACGAATTATTTCATGTAATTCTCATTTTTTGTTTTATTTGAATCATTAATCATATCGAACATATTTTGGCAGGACAAATTCAGACCGTGTCTCGTGAACTCTTGAGTCACACTTAAAGAAAGATACCTGATTTGTTCATGAAACTCATAAACTGAAACTGTTGGGATGCCATTCTTTTTTTGAGGTGTTTTTTCGGAGTATCTCGAAATTTACTAATTTTTACTCGGTCATAAATAACAATAAGTGAATATGATATTGAACAAAAAAAACAAATTTCTGCCACTACCCAATCCACTATGTAATTCATCTATCATTTTCAACAGGGTGATGTTTGTCAGTTTGAGAGAAGCAGAAGGTACATTTTGTCATTTGGATCGCTTCTATATGGACGGAACGGGAAGGACACACACCTTAGAAGATCATCTGATAGGCCCTATATCACTACGCTATGACCATGATTTGAACAGAGTTTTCTTTGCTGATGCTGGTACTGGATTGATAGAATCAACTAGTGTTGAAGGTTTGATGACTTATTTTTGAATTTGTTGTAATTTTTTTTCTCTCTCATCTCAATTACAGTGAATCCTCAATTTTGTGAGGCTTCAATAAATTGAAAGGAGATTAACCACGATTATTTTATTATTCAACTGATTTGAATAGAGTCGAAACAAACTGCCCTGTTAGTGAAGATTCTTTATCAATTCGAGTAGATTTGTTTGAACCTTGAAGTGATATAATTGAGTAAATGATCAAGTGCACCTAAAAAAAACATCATTTATGTAGTAACTCCTTGAAAATATAACAACTGATGGTTTCGTCCGACAGGACACGACAGGATAAAAATAATTGAGAAAATAATTTAGAAGTTTCTCTCTCAATTTTTTTCTTTTCTTTTTTCTTTTATTATTGATAAGAAAAATAAGTATGAATATTTAATGATGTTAAAACCTGAATCTTCCGACCCAAAACTTTTTGTCATTGCCGAGAAATCATAATCATAAACAGAAGCTTGATAAATAATTTTAGAAAAATAATATTATGATGACAAAAATGCTAAGAGGACAATTTTGGAAGATTTGGATTTCAAGATTTATAATTTGAATGACTTTTTTCAGAAATTGTGATATTAATCGAATGCATCAAGTTATAGGATGTATTAAGTTGTTTTGGAAGTTTTGTCCGTTTTAATTTCATGTGTTTTTGCAGCTCCATATCTCAATAAATATTTAGTCTACTGTGTCGTGGTATATACTGTTAGATAGCAGCAGATCAGAAACAGCTCAAATTAATCAATCAGGCATTTGACAGTGATAGTGTTGATTCGTGAGAAGTCTGGTGGGATGGTGGAAGAACTGAGCGTCAGCTTCCATACGGTTTTTGATGGTTGGAAACATATTGGAGAGGTCAAATAGCTCAAAAAGTGCCAAAAGATTTGAACGATCGACAGAAATTGTCACGTTTCGAGGTCTGTTCTTATTTGCTTTTGCGCAACCAAAACGTTCTTTTTTTTTGGTCGGATCGTCATGTATGGATGTTCTGCGACAACAGGAAATGTTCAGGCCTTAAGATGGACACCGATGAGTCACCCAGGCACTTCCTGAAGGCGAATAACCACAAAAAAAAGGTTACGGTATGGCTGGTGTGATTTATTATAACTTTCAGTAACCGTGCCAAACCATTACAGCAGATCCATCACAGCCCTAACCATTTTGTCGTTACAGTAGCAGCCGGCACTGCTCAACAGGAGATGTTCTATCTTGCCCCACGACAACACTCGTCCGCACGTTCCACAAATGGCCGTCCAAAAATTTAAACGATTCGAGCGTCGACTACCATCTTTTCAAGCACTTTCTCACCGGTAGAACCTCCGACAATCAGGACCAGGCAAAACAGCCTTCGTCGACTTAATCGAGTCCCGAGCATCCAATTTTTATGTTAACCAAAAACATCGACTTGTATTACGTTGGCAAAAGTTCACTGATTCAAGTGGCGTTAATTTCGAATAAATTGTATGAGTATTCACTGAGATATTACAGTTTGAAGATCACTCTTAAAGATGGATAAAACTTTCGAAACAATCTAATGCAACAGAGTCGGTGAAAAATCAATCGTAGAAAAGTCATGAGACGATAAATTTAAATTTTGAACATTTTGTAGACAGGATCTTGGCGTTCATCTACGGATGGGTGAACTGCAACTCTCAGGATAACCTGAGAACTCTCAGGATATATTTTTTCATATCCCAGAGATTGATTTTTTTGTATAATAATTTATAGGTTTTTTTGAAATAATCACGAAAAGCCTAATTTTTTTAGGAGACGATCGACATGATTTCCGAAGGCTAACAACCCACCCCTCTAGCATCACAACTCTTAAAAATGATCTATTCTGGGTGAACGAAAACTCCAAGCGTTTGTATTGGGCAGAGAAGAAAAGCATTTCAATGTATAACAGAAAAATTACCCTAGGTACGTATTTATTCAAAAATAAATTATTCAATGATGAACATTTATTTATTTCCCAGAAACTGTTTTATTGACTTCAATTTCCTATTCAGATCACCTCACTTCTGCGGCAACTCAAGGATAAGCCAATGCATGGGGTCTTCTTCAAAAACATTGAAGGCCTTGGCTTATCGAAGCGCCTGACTTTCGCTTTCCTCAGGTCGAGTGGGCTGAAGTCGGAAACTGAGGGGTTCATCATGGCATGCCAAGATGGTGTCTTCAACACCTAAGTCTACCGCAGTCGCGTGATGGGTATAGAAGTTCCTGACACAAGGTGAAGGGCCTGCCGTGAGGCGTCCGAGACCCTAATGCACTTGCTATTAGCATGTCCAGCATATGCGGTCTCTGCCTATATCCATCGACATAACGCAGCCCTAACAGTGCTCTATTACCATCTAAGGCACTATTACGGTATTGAGCCTTATGAATTTCACTAGTTCGGACTTCCATT